CTTACAGTCAACAATATCAACGACCCAACAAGCTTGGAACCTATAACTCCCAACCATCTACTTCACCTTAAAGCTGATTACATACAGCCACCGCCTGGCAACTTCACCAAAGAGGATTTATACGCAAGGAAAAGATGGCGAAGAGTTCAATATCTATCAGAGCAGTTTTGGAATAGATGGAGCAAGGAGTACTTAGCTCATCTCATACTAAGAAGTAAAATGGCAAACGCCTAGAAGAAATGTTCATGTGGATGACATAGTGTTAGTAAAGGAAGACGACTTACCTAGAAGTCAATGGAAATTGGCCAAAGTCCTAGAAGCTCGAAAGGACGAAGAAGTACTAGTAAGAAGAGTATTGTTACAAATGGGAGACTCAAAACTGGACAAAAAGGGAAAACGTCTCACAACTCCACTCAAGTTGGAACGTCCAATACAAAAGTTAGTTGTTCTGCTTGAGAGTAACAAAGACACTTGAGAGTTGAGAAACTGATGGAAAATTCCTCAAACTCATGTTCGAATCATATTGCTGAGAACATAGAATTATAGGTAATTTTGGTGGGAGTGTAGCTGGCCAGCTAAGACCAGTCCTAGGTTGCTGATATGGTTCACATATATGTGTATACCAAACCTGCCAATAACCTCAGTACAGTATATATGTGCACATGTTAAAGCCAAAAGCAGAATCATTGCTGTAATTTATGTCTTTGAATGTTATATGACATTTATATATTCATTGTGTTAGCAGAAGCAGAAAAGGAAAATATGCCTTTAAGAGTCAGTATAGAGCTGAGCCAATCACAGACAGCCTCACACTTTACAGAGCCTTAACCAATCCCAGCCAGTTTCACATTTATGCCTGTGTAAAACTCCCTGCTAGATTGTTCTAGAGACACATGCTCACCAGACAGAAGAGGAAACAGACAAGTTCCAGTCAGAGAAGCTTTATGGAAGCAGAGAAGGCCAAATAGGTATTTAATGCACTTGTGTGTTCCTCTATTGTTTAACAGTGCAGGTAGATCTGTCTGTAAAATCTGTTGTATGTGTTTACTTGTAGTTCCACCGAATTTATCGAAATAATCTAACGACATAAGCTAACGAATCTATTGAAATATACAGAACGAAATAAGTTATCGATATAATCCACCAAATTAAACCATTGTAATATGAAAGAAATAAGTCACTGTAAGATAAACAAAACAAGCCATTGTAAGCAGTTATATGAAGAAGATTGAAGTTATTAAAGAAGTTAACTAAAGTATTCTGTGTGCTCTTTAAACCTACTGCATCCATAGAGCGGCATTGGAGGAATTACAGAGTAAAGTCAGTCTAATCAAACAAAGAAACAGCAATTGCATAATTGTTCTAATGCCACAGCGCACAAGGCACCAAAGGGTGCTGCGCCTGCCATACTAGAATCCTCCTCCAGATCACCAAAACAGCAGATAAGATTCTTCCAAACAATGGACCTTAGTTAGGGTAGCTAAACCATTCAGGATGAGGCTTGGACTCGTAGTGGGAAACATGCAAAGAAAGAGCGCTCCTCATAGTGTAAAGCCATAATCACAACATTTATTTAAAGTATGGTTGCGCTCACATGTAAGCAAACATCATTAGGCATTGATTGGCAAAAAAGTCCAAATTTTACAGTTTTCAAAATGGCTGCCGACCGTTCGCAAATGCGCAGTAGCGTGTGTACGTGGCTCCACCCACGCACACACGCTACTGCCTCCACCTTTCTGGTAAGCCTTCTGTAGTAGTGGTTGCTGACACCACAACTGTCCTTGGATTTCTTTTGTTTCATCACAGCCTCTGGGACTTTTATTTTTGGATGGGACTATTTTTATGACACATTTTTCACTGTTATGATTATTTGTTACTTTTTAAGCGCAGCAATTTTATGTATTTATTGTTGATTGCCTAATATCAGGGTTTTTGCGTTCAGCTGCTATATGTTTTACACCTTATTATTGATTATCTATTGTGGTTCTTATTAGCGCAGGTTTATATATACAGTTGTGTTCAAAATAATATCAGTGTGTTGAAAAAAGTGAATAAAGCTGAAAATCCTTCTAATAGCTTTTATTTCCATCCACACAAATGCATTGGGAACACGACACATTCTATTCCAAATCAAAACATGAAGAAAAATACATCAAATTTGTGTTGTTCCTCTAAAAAAATGGAAGAATAGTGAATATTAGACTTTTCAAAAAAATCGCAGTGTTTGTATTCTTCTTTACAAACTCAAACATTCACTATATAAACTAAGAAATGTTTGAAGATTTTGCTTTCCTTTGAATGACTTCATGAATATTTGGTTGTAGTCGCACTGTTTCTGAGAACTGCTGTACATCTGTGTTGCATGGAGTCCCCCAACTTCTGGCCCCTGTGATCAGGTATCCCAGCCCAGGATGATTGGACCACATTCCACAGTTCTTCTCTATTTCTTGGTTTTGTCTCAGAAACGGCATTTTTGATGTCACCCCACAAGTTTTCTATTGGATTAAGATCCGGGGATTGGGCTGGCCACTCCATAACGTCCATCTTGTTGGTCTGGAATCAAGATGTTGCACGTTTACTGGTGTGTTTGGGGTCGTTGTCTTGTTGGAACACCCATTTCAAGGGCATTTCCTCTTCAGCATAAGGCAGCATGACCTCTTCAAGTATTCTGATGGATTCAAAACTGATCCATGATCCCTGGTATGCGATAAATAGGCCCAACACCGTAGTATGAGCAGCATCCCCATATCATGATGCTTGCACCACCATGCTTCACTGTCTTCACAGTGTACTGTGGCTTGAATTCAGTGTTTTTGGGGGTCATCTGACAAACTGTCTCCGCCCACTAGACCCAAAAAGAACAATCTTACTTTCATCAGTCCACAAAATGTTGCGCCATTTCTCTTTAGGCCGGTCAATGTGCTCTTTGGCAGATTGTAACCTCTTCAGCACACGTCTTTTTCCCAACAGTGGGACTTTGCGGGGACTTCTTGCAGATAGCTTGGCTTCACATAGGCGTCTTCTAATTGTAACAGTCCTCACAGGGAACGTCACACCTTCTTTCATCTTCCTGGAGCTGATCTTCCTGGAGCTGATTGTTGGCTGAGTCCTTGTCATTTTGGCTATTCTTCTATCCATTCCAATGGTAGTTTTTTCGCTTTCTTCCACGTCTTTCAGGTTTTGGTTGCCATTTTAAAGCATTTGCCATCATTTTAGCTAAGCAGCCGATCATTTTCTGCACTTCTTTATATGTTTTCCCCTCCAATCAACATTTTAATCAAGGTACGCTGTTCTTCTGAACAATGTCTGTAACGACCCATTTTCCTCAGAATTTCAGAGAGAAATGCACTGTAACCAGCATGTCCAACATTTGCTGCCTTCCTTCCTTAAATAAGGGCAATAATTGCCACCTGTTTTTCAAAGAATGAATGACCTCACTAATAGAACTCCACACTGCTATTATATTGAACACGCCCCTCAATGAGTGATTCAATGACACAGAATCAGCAGCATGCATGTCATGACTGTTGGGTCTGTTGGATTTCTATTACTCTACTACACCTGCTAGTAAATTATTTGCCATGTAGAAATATCATTTCCACCAAAAACAGTGATTGATCCGGTTAGTGATGTCTGACTGCTATTATTTTCAACACAACTGTATATTTATCCTTACCTCAGGACGATAGCATTGTCAGTCTGGGGAGAGGGGAGAGTTATATTAGCAGATCTAGATAGACTTGACCGACATATTGAAGATGAACTCCAGCTAATACCTTTATAATCAGTTACAGCAAACTTTGTTTTTTTCCCTTGTGGGATAAAGATTATATATGAAGGAATACAAACTGATCATTGTAAGCTCTCCTGTTAATACTAAATGGTTGCCTCAACGCTCTAACTTGATACCAGTTGATTGCGGTCTTCCTGTTGACTGCGGGCCGGTGTCAGGTAGACCTTGAACAGGTCTCTGCACTGCCGACTCGTACCTTTAGATGACGTCCTTCTCCCCCCCCAACCTTCTCCATCACTGTCATCCACAGTGCACAGTGGAGAGCGGGAGGCAGCACAGATCAGGATGGAGGACAGGCGGAGGAGCTTGCCAAATTATCTTTTCAAGGTAACCGAGAAGTGATTGGTTGCTAGGGCGTTCCTAGCAACCAATCACCAGCTTGTTAATATGAAAAGTTACTCTGGCAGCTCCCACCCTCCATCCAGAACTATGCTGCCTTCCACTTTCTCCTCTGTGTATACAGGTAGGATACTGCAGTGCTTGGGAAACTTCTATGGGAGGGAAGGGGGGAGGCAGAGGGGCAGAGGACGCTGCTGGGGGGGGGGAAGGGGGGCCAGATGTCACTACTATGGTGTAAAGGGGGGGGATACTAATGGGGAGGGGGAGTTTATGGGAAGAGTGGTAGAGGACACTGCTATGGGTAGGGGGAGGACACTACTGTGGGGAGTGATGTGAACGGGGCAGATGACACTACTACAGGGGGGGGGGGGGGGTAAATGTGCAGAGAGAGGAGGACATTGCTATGGGCATGGCCACCCCTATAGTCGTTTCCTCTACCGCCTTTCACACCACCCGCCCACAGTAGTGTCCTTTTCCCCCCTTTTTCCCCATAGCAGTGTCCTCTGCCCTCCCTTCCCCTCCCATAGACCCTACCCTGGAGCCCTACGGCAGCTTCCTAAGCAGCCTTATGCTGGCTTTATTTTCCTCCTGCAGCAGCCGAAAGCCACAATATGAGTCATGTCAGTGGTATTCTGTGCTCATCCTGTGTATGGAGATATCACCGTCTCTACACATGGAGGACAATATTGGGGGGTCCCTACTCCATTATAACATTTGTCTTAGAAAATTCTATTTCTTGGAGATTTATAAAGTGATCGAAAATAAATGATTCCAATTAAGAGAAATGAGTTCCATCCATGTAGAGAATAGTTCCATTTATTCCTGGGGGGGGGATTCATTTTCTTCTGGTAACATTCTTCTCTTCTTCTACAGATTGTCCTATAATCACCTGACAGACAGTTCCCTGCCCCCACCTGGCATCTGGAATAAGAAATAACCCGACACTGAGGACACTGGACCTGTCTGATAACAATCTGGAGGGTCCTCATTTCAGGGATCTGATGGCGGCTCTGACAACAAGCCGGATAGAGAAATTACAGTGAGTATAACAGGACTGACTGAGACAATCATATTCTGGGGCAGTTTTATATCTAAACCACATAAAAGGAAGAGATGATAGTGTAATATATAAAATTAACCTTTAAACAGCCAATCCCAAACTGGCTCATTCTTGGATCTTATCACACTGGTATCAGTCATGAAATTGTGTTTTCTTAAAGCTGAGTTCCACCCAAAAAGTGGAAGCTCCGCTTATCTGCCTCCTCTCTCCCCTCCGCTGCCACATTTGGCACCTTTTGGGGGGAGCGGGTATCTGGTTTTGACCGGTACCCACTCCCACTTCCAGCTCAGTTTGCCTCTGAACGGAGGCAGAAGTTCGGGCCCCCCTGCAGCCCTCTGGGACACTACACAGGCCCCAGAGGACAGCGGTCCATGCAGAAAGCACAGTGCGCTTTACACAGTAGGAAACCGCTGTGAAGTCACAAGGCTTTACTGCCGGTTTCCCTTAGTCAAGATGGCTGCGCCAGCACCCAACAGCTAATTGAAGAATCAGCTTGGGGTGAGGACACTGCTGCTGGATCCCTGGACAGGTAAGTGCCCTAATTTCAAAAGTCAGCAGCTACAGCATTTGTAGATTCTGACTTTTATTTATTTTTTTTTTTTAGGAGGGGGTGGGGGGGCGAGGGCCGGAACTCTGCTTTAATACCTTCCACAAATATGATTGTTAGTTTAGTCCATCAGAAGTTATCCTTATTACTACACATCAACCAACTGTGTCTCTCCCCATTACTGCACATCTGGTATTTAAGGTCTGAAATCTCCTCTCTACTTCCTATGAGTACAGAGCTCTTATCAGCAGAGATAAATAGAACATCAGATAAAATCCTCCCGTCCAATCACTAGCAATGCTGATTTTGGCCTCACACTGTCTGCTGATCCCATTCATGCCAGTGTTTTCAACTATCCGGTATTTTATGGACTTTTTGTAAAAACTGGGCTCTTTTCTCCTGTCTGTAAATGTTCATCACAGAAGAGCGCCCATTAAAAATAAGGCTGTGACTGTCCGCTTAGAACTGTACATGCGCAGTTCCGGAGCTGGCCGACGGACCATCCGAGGCTCTGAGTCCAAGTGCTACTGGACTCCCCACTGGAGGTCGGGTCTGGTGGAGGTGATGCCTGAGCATGACATCCTGGACTCCTGGTGCATTTTTTTTTCGCCACCACTGCCAGTCACCATGAAAACACAACCTTTGCGAACAGAATGGAGCACAGCAATAGTATGTAGTTGGCTGTCAGCAGAAACAGATTCTGTGGGGGGAGGGAGTGTGCCAATGGGGAAAGCACAAAAGTGGTGCTGTGCTGAGGGCTGGTTTGGGAACCTGGGGGCAGGTTGCTGGAATGTGCCAGGCTGTTGCTTACAGTCTTCTTTCGAGGAGCTTGGGAGCAGCAGTGTGCAGGGATCCATGGAGGCAGTTAAAGTTGCAATGTAGAAACCCTGCTGGATGGGATTGGAGAGATTGAGCACTGCACGACTGGGATTGGGCAATACAAGGGAAAAGGTGGGGAGTGTGAGGGCACCAGGGGATCAGACACCCGGTGTCCTTGCACTGAACAGCCTGCTCCTGGTGTGTGAGGCATCACTTGTCACATTGTCATTCTTCTATATAGATACAGGACAGACAGAAGGAGTATCATTCACTGAAGGGACCTGGCGGGGTGTCTTCAAGAAGACCTTTGGGTAATCTAATGTAAAGGGTAATGCTGCAGACCCTGATGTAAGTGGGAACTCTGATGTAAGGGGAAAATCTGTGGGCTCTGTGGTGACCAGAGACACCCTTACATCAGAGTTCCCTTTACATGATGGTCTGCAGCATTCCCCTTTACATCAGAGTCCACAGTGTTTCCCTTTACATTAGTGTCTACAGAGTTCCCCCCTTACCCTGCGGACACTGATGTAAAGGTGAACACTGTAATGGAGAACTTTGTGTACTGTGATGCAAAGGGAAACTCTGGAGTCTGATGTAGGGGGAAATCTGATGTAGGGGGAAAATCTGTGGACTGTGATTTTAAAGGAGAGCTCTATAGACTCTTGTGTAAAGGGGGGGGGGTGGTGACTAGAGATGTTCTCTTTTACATCAGACTTGATAGTGTTCCCTTTTACATCAGGGTTCAGAGTTCACCCCTTGCACTGTAAAGGGGAACACTGCAGATTCTGATGTAAGGGGGAACTCTGTGCTAGGTTATATTAACCTTCATGTAAATAGGAGTGCAGAGCCCTCCAGGTTAGCTAGATAGTTTTGTTTTTGTTTTTTTTTAGGTAGAGGCTAAGTAGCAGCCTGGGATGAGTCAGCCTGAGCGTGAGGAAGGAGTTCACCTCCGGACAGGCTACGAACGTTCTACAGGTCAGAGCTTCTGGAGCCCTCACACCCCCTTCCAGAAACTTGAGGAATTTTCTGGAAGAGGATCAGAGGAGGATAGGAGGCTCAGATCTGCATGTTTGAAGGACCCTGGCCAATCCCCTGGCAGGAGGCTGGGCATGGTGACCAAGACAACGCTCAAATATCACAGAGCCTGGGGAGCTAGGGGGAGTGGGTGTCACCTGGAAGATGTAGTGAGAGGCTGGAGTGTGGAGCCTGGGAGAGGGCCTACCTACAGGCAGGTCGCTGGAAAAGAGGATCTCTGCTGCACCTCCGTCTCCTTGGGAGGACATCTGGAGCAGCAGGAAAGGAGCCAGCTTAACATAAGGCCTGAAGGCAGCCACCAACCCACCAAGCTGACAGGAAAGGACAGTGTGAGTACTCTTGCACCCCCCTCCCCCCCCGAGCCGGATAAGGGGAGAGGGCAGTCAGAGAACCCAATTATCTTCTCATCTGGAACGGTTCTAAATTGGCAGTTCTTGGGCCCCTTTGCCCAAGAAATGCCCTCAGTACAGTTGGGTGCAGAGGATGATTCATCTGGGATCTGAGGAGGTACACCAAAGAGCTTTGAATGCTCCTAAAGGAGAGACTGTTGCTACATCCACATTTTTGTACATGGTTGATAAGGAGTTTGTCCTCAACGTTCTACAGTTCTCTTGGGCATCCCATACACCCCTAGACCTCATCCAAGTTATTAACCCCTTAATAAAAATCACAAAACCAAGCTCAAGGACTGTTTACTGACTCCAGTGTGTAAAGTGTGAAAGAAAATGCGTGTTGCCTGGCTTTGCAGAGCTTTAGGGGGACCCAAAACTCAGCGACTCCTAAGGGGGGGGGTGCTTCAGAAATATGTGTTTTGCCTTTTGTTATACCTTAAGCACATTGCTAATTGCGCTAGCTACTTTTGTAGCCTAAATATTGATATTTGCAGTGAATACGGCATTTTGGCTAACCTTTTCAAACTGTCAGTAAAAAGTTGGCTCTGTCAGGAAATTTTTTTTTGTTGTGCCAGTAAATTTCACTTTGAGAGGTTGGCAACTTTGATTTATGATCCATACACAAGGAGATGATAGCACAATACGAGTCATGTCAGTGGTATTCTGTGCTCATCCTGTGTATGGAGATATCACCGTCTCTACACATGGAGGACAATATTGGGGGGTCTACTCCATTACATTACATTACATCGAGTTTATATAGCGCCAAAGGGTTTGTTCAGCGCTGTACTAATAGAGGGGGGGACAATACATGAAACAGTACAGCAACTACAAACAGCACACGAGGGGTTAGAGGGTCCTACTCTTTCGAGCTTACAAACTAGAAGGGAGGGGGTAGTGGTACAGGAGGAAGTGGCTGTGGGGGATGGAGTGGTAGGAGGAATGAAGGAGAGCGGCAGTTAGGTGAGGGTGGGGTAGGCTTCCCTGAAGAGGTGGGTTTTCAGGGAGCACCTGAAGGTGAGGAGGGAAGGTGACAGTCTGATGGATTGGGGTAGTGAGTTCTAGAGGATGGGGGAGGACCTGGAGAAGTCTTGCAGACGGGCGCGGGAGGAGGAGACCAGGGGGCAAGATAGAAGGAGGTCCTGTGAAGAGCGAAGGGTACGGGTAGAGTGATACCTGGGAATCAGGTTGGTGAGGTAGTTAGGGGCAGTGTTGTGAACGGCTTTGTAGGTCAGTGTTAGTAATTTGAATTTGATGCGTTGGGCAATAGGGAGCCAGTGGAGGGATAGGCAGAGGGGGGTGGCAGAGGTGGAGCGGTTGGTGAGGTGGATGAGTCTAGCCGCTGAGTTCAGGGTGGTCTGAAGCAGGGAGAGCCTGCACTGGGGTAGGCCGGTGAGGAAGGAGTTGCAGTAGTCCAGACGTGAGATAATCAGGGAGTGTACGAGTAGTTTAGTGGTGTCTGGGGTAAGGAAGGAGCGTATTTTGGCAATGTTCCGGAGGTGGAGCCTGCATGTGTTTGTAAGTGATTTGACATGAGGTTGGAAGGAAAGGTTTGAGTCCAGGATGACACCAAGGACTTTGGCTTTGCGGGGCGGGATTGATGGTGGTGATGTTAGTAGTGATGGATAGGATGGGGGGGGGGGGGGGGCGCGGGCAGAGGGGAAGACGAGAAGCTCGGTTTTGGAGAGGTTAAGCTTGAGGAAATGGAGCGACATCCATTATAACATTTGTCTTATAAAATTCTATTTCCTGGAGATTTATAAAGTGATCGAATATAAATGATTCCAATAAAGAGAAATGAGCTCCATTCATGTAGAGAATAGTTCCATTCATTCCTGGGGGGGGGGGATTCATTTTCTTCTGGTAACATTCATCTCTTCTTCTACAGATTGGATAATAATCACCTGACAGACAGTTCCTGCCCCCACCTGGCATCTGGAATAAGAAAATAACCCGACACTGAGGACACTGGACCTGTCTGGGAACACGCTGGAGGGTCCTCAATTCAGGGATCTGATGGCGGCTCTGACAACAAGCCGGATAGAGGAATTACAGTGAGTATAACAGGACTGACTGAGACAATCATATTCTGGGACAGTTTTATATCCAAACTACACAAATCACACAATGATAACATGACAATATTGGATCTCATTTTTGTTTATCTCTATATATAGTCCTTTCTTGACTGTCATCAAATTCTTGGGTCCCATCGCCCTAAACTAGTCTTTTCCTAAAACCGGATTATAATCTGATATTCCATTTAGTCTGTGTAGCATCTCTAGATAAGTATTCTTGTTAAATCTTCCAATATTATCGTTATCTGGTGTTATTTAATGAAATGTTATATACAGTTTGATTTTACCTACAAGTGTTTGTGTGATCTCTCTTTGCACACTTCGAAAAACCCAGAAAAAAAACAGTGTGGTCTAAAAATGTGCTCTGTTTTGGGATGCCTTGATTTTAATGAAGGACCACTAACTCTTTAACAATGGTTGGTTTATTTACAAATGAACATACATACATTATACTTACAAATCGGGAAATGGGACAGGGAAGATGGGGGTCCTCTATTATCTAATACATAGTCTCTCTGGATGTTTTATACTAGGACCTCTTATCCAATCTTGTCTTGAGATACACCCTCAGTTGGCTCCCTGCAAATTGCATTCTTGATCCTATGTGGGCGATATCTTGCTCTAGAGGTCACAAAATGTAGTTCCTGTCCCATGCTCAGTGATGAGTTTTTGAGCAGATGATTAAAAAGGGTGTCTGTGCCGGAACGATTGTCACCTTGATTGAATCCATCAAAGAACTGCTTTCTCGTCACTGGGACACAGGACCAAGGTGTTCTAACTGGGCACTGTACCCAAGACTAGATGAGACTAGCTTGATGCAAAATGGAACTACTATATTGAACAGGAGCACAGGTTTTTATATCTTTCAGAACTAGGGGCAGTCCCCACATGAACAATAAAAACAAATATTACACTTTAACATAAACCTAAACACATTATCATGCTACAATGGTTTGGTAACAAGGTAAAGTGGACATAATACTAATGACATCTCCAGGAGGACTAGCCGACAGACAAAAAAAGGTGACTCTAACAATGGGAAAGCACATCTAGGAGGCACACAATGGTAGAAGGACAGTGAACACATAACACCTTAGTAAACAGCTTAGAGCAAGAGTCCTTAGCATCAGGTTTGGAGTCTCTGAGTCTAGGAGGGGGGGAAGGAGTTGAAGCAGCCAATGCTGGTATAGGCACAGAGACCCCAAATCTGTATCCTGGTCCTCCAGCTCTGAGTCTGTGTGTTTTGGGGAGATATGGACTTGAATCCAAAGTAAAACTCCTCCAAAATCCCCCCCCCCTTCCCGCACACACCAAAGAATAGAGCCCCCTCAGACACTAGGGCCATGGTCATAGGCAAGAGGCTAGCCTGCAGTCTCCTCCAAAAGCCCCTGTCCTGGTTGGGTCTGTCACAATGTCAATAGGATCCTTCCCAATCCCCCAGGAACCGTTCTGTAATACTTGCCAGGTGTGAGCAATAAAATACTCCAGGAGACCTACTGGTCAAATGCTGATGATCTCCTGTAACAGCTTCAACTCTTCTGGGAAGGCCGTCCACAAGGTTTAGGAGGGTGTCTATGGGAAGGTTGGACCATTCTTCTAGAAGCACATTTGTCAGGTCAGGCACTGATGTCGGGGGAGGAGGCCTGGCTCGAAGTCTCCACTTTAATTCTTCCCAAAGGTGTTCTATGGGGTTGAGGTCAGGACTCTGTGCAGGACAGTCAAGGTCCTCCACCCCAAACTGGCTCCTCCATGTCTTTATGGACCTTGCTTTGTGCACTGGTGGGCAGTCATGTTGGAACAGGAAGGGGCCAACCCCAAACTCTTCCCACAAAGTTGGGAGAATGAAATTGTCCAAAATGTCGCCTTAAGAGTTCCCTTCACTGGAACTAGGGGGCCAAGTCCAACCCCTGATAAACAACCCCACATCATAGTCCCCCCTCCACCAAACTTTACACTTGGCACAATGCAGTCAGGTAAGTACCGTTTTCCTGGCAACTGCCAAACCCAGACACGTCCATCAGATTGCCAGACAGGGAAGTGTGATTGGTCACTTCAGAGAACATGTCTCCTCTGCTCTAGAGTCCAGTGGTGGCATGCTTTACACCACGGAATATGACGCTTTGCATTGCACTTGGTGATGTAAGGCTTGGATGCAGCTGCTCGGCCATGGAAACCCATTCCATGAAGCTCTCTACGCACTGTTGTTGGGCTCATCTGAAGGCCACACCAAGTTTGAAGGTCTTTAGCTATTGACTCTGCAGACAGTTGGCGACTTCTGCGCACTGTGCGCTTCAGCATGCGCTGACCCCGCCCTGTCATGTGACGTGGCCTACCACTTGGTGGCTGAGTGGCTGTTGTTTCCCAGTTGCTTCCACTTTGTTATATAATCCCACTAACAGTTGATCGTGGAATATTTAGTAGCCAGGAAATTGACTTATTGCACAGGAGGCCACCTATCCCGGGACCACGCTTGGAGTCACTGAGCTCCTGAGAGCAACCCATTCTTTCACCAATGTTTGTAGAAGCCATCTGCATGCCTAGGGCTTGACTGTATACACCTGTGTCCATGGAGGGGATTGGAACACCTGAATCTAATGATTGGGAGGGCGGGGACAATACTTTTGGCAATATAGTGTATTTTCTTCTGGTAACATTCTTCTCTTCTTCTACAGATTGTATGATACTCACCTGACAGACAGTTCCTGCCCCCACCTGGGATCTGGAATAAGAAATAACCCGACACTGAGGACACTGAACCTGTCTGGGAACAATCTGGAGGGTCCTCATTTCTGGGATGTGATGGCGGCTCTGACAACAAGCCGGATAGAGGAATTACAGTGAGTATAACAGGACTGACTGAGACAATCATATTCTGGAGAGTTTTACATTTCAGCACATAAAAATGAAAAGATAAAACAAAACATTTGAATAGTCAATCCTCAATTTACTAATTTTTGGAATTTATCACATTGTTATCATCTATGAAATTGTGTTTCCTTAGGCCTCCCTAAAATGATTGTAAAATTAGTCCAGTTACTAATATAAAGAAATAATAATCGGTCAATGATCAATCAGAGCCTCATATGAGCTTCCTGTCATGTGATACAACCATCCAATATGTGAGCCGGGGGATCTCCCTATTAGGCTGCTTTCACACCGAGGAGTTTTTGAAGCGTTTTTGCGTTAAAAAACTGCCTGAAAAGCTCAAGAAAACTGTTTCCCTGTGCATGGGAATGTGTATCAGTGCATGTGAGTGTGTATCTGTGCAAGTGAATGTGTATCTGTGTATGTGAGTATGTATCAGTGCATGTGAGTGTGTATCTGTGCAAGTGAATGTGTATCTGTGCATGTGAATGTGTATCTGTGTATGTGAGTATGTATCTGTGTAAGTGAATGTTCATCTATGTATGTGAATGTGTATCTATGTATGTTTTCCCACTGAGGAGTTGCACTTGCGGTGCGGTGTAAAAACTCCCGCTTGCAGCATCTTTGAGGCATGTTTGGAGAGAAGAAAAAAAAAAAAAACACCTCTTCCCAATGAAATGAATGGTAACCGCCTCAAAAACGCTCCAAAAACGCAACGCACATGTGGGAAGGTCTGGCTGTTTCAGCTTTTATCAGGGTTGCCCACTGACAGCTGAATGTAAGAATTGCCGGCAATTAAAAAATAATTAAAAAACAGCGTGGGGTACCCCCCCCCCTCCACCTGCAGGTCTGGTATAGATTCTGAGGGGAACCCCCACGCCCAAAAAAAAATTCCATACCAGACCCTTATCCGAGCATGCAGCCCAGCAGGTCAGGAAAGGGGGAGGGGGGGCGAGCAAGCGCCCCCCTCCCATCCTGAACTATACCAGGCCACATGCTCTCAAAATGGGGGGGTGCTTTGTTGAGCACAAGGGCCTCTTCCCCCACAACCCTGGGCTGTGGCTGCGGGGTCTGCGGGCGGGGGGCTTATTGGAATATGGAAGCCCCCTTTTGTGAATGAGTATGGGGTACATGGTATCACTACCCATTCACAAAAATAAAAAGTGTGGTGTGAAAAAGACAGGAGATGATCTTTGACAAGTCCTTTATTAAAAGAAGGAAAATAAAAGAATGTCCCCCAAAGTATCTCCAACATCAATCACGATGCCCGCAGCCGACCCAAAAGAAGAAAAAAAAAAGAAGGCTCCGGTCCCGACGCTGGCTCCCGGCCATCTGACTGCTCTGCTGGCGTGACAGTTCTTAAATATGTAAGGGGCGGGGCCACCCAGTGACATCACTCATGTGACCCTGCCCCCGTGCCATCATCGACCGGGACGTGCTGGGTCAATGATGTCACACGGGGGGGTAGGCTCACATACATAATGGGCCCGCCCTTTACATATTTAAGAACTGTCAAGCCAGTGGAGCAGTCAAACGGCAGAAGCCAGCGTCAGGAGCAGAGCGTTCTTTTTTTTTTTTGAGTGGCAGCGGGCATCGTGATTGACCTCGAGGACAACAGAGTGTATTGTCATTGAAATGCATGAAACACATTATACTCTCATATCTATGCCTGGCCATGGCAGCAGAGAACACGGCATATGATGAATTGGGTCTGTGGACCAATACAACCGCAATTCAATTTTTTTTAGTAATGCCCATGTTGAGGGATAGGTCCAAAAAAAAAATTTAAATTCGGAAACTGTATTGGGTTTCCATACGAATTGTCTGGCAAGGTTAGAATTTGGGTTGGCGGCGATTAAATTGTTGTGCATATACACTCAGGTCCATATATATTGGGACATGGACACAATTCTAACATTTTTGGCTCTATACACCACCACAATGGATTTGAAATGAAACAAACAAGATGTGCTTTAACTGCAGACTGTCAGCTTTAATTTGAGGGTAGTTACATACAAATCAGGTGACGGTGTAGGAATTACAACAGTTTGCATATGTGCCTCCCACTTGTTAAGGGACCAAAAGTAATGGGACAATTGGCTTCTCAGCTGTTCCATGGCCAGGTGTGTGTTATTCCCTCATTATCCCAATTACAATGAGCAGATAAAAGGTCCAGAGTTCATTTCAAGTGTGCTATTTGCATTTGGAATCTGTTGCTGTCAACTCTCAAGATGAGATCCAAAGAGCTGTCACTATCAGTGAAGCCATCATTAGGCTGAAAAAACAAAACAAACCCATCAGAGAGATAGCAAAAACATTAGGCGTGGCCAAAACAACTGTTTGGAACATTCTTAAAAAGAAGGAACGCACCGGTGAGCTCAGCAACACCAAAAGACCCGGAAGACCACGGAAAACAACTGTGGTGGATGAGCGAAGAATTCTTTCCCGGTGAAGAAAACACCCTTCACAACAGTTGGCCAGATCAAGAACACTCTCCAGGAGGTAGGTGTATGTGTGTCAAAGTCACACCAATCAAGAGAAGACTTCACCAGAGTGAATACAGAGGGTTCACCACAAGATGGAAAGCATTGGTGAGCCTCAAACACAGGAAGGCCAGATTAGAGTTTGCCAAACGACATGTAAAAAAGCCTTCACAGTTCTGGAACAACATCCTATGGACAGATGAGACCGACATCAACTTGTACCAGAGTGATGGGAAGAGAAGAGTATGGAGAAGGAACTGCTCATGATCCTAAGCATACCACCTCATCAGTGATCATGGTGGTGGTAGTGTCATGGCGTGGGCATGTATGGCTGCCAATGGAACTGCTTCTCTTGTATTTATTGATGATGTGACGGCTGACAGAAGCAGCCGGATGAATTGTGAAGTGTTTCGGGAATATTATCGGCTCATATTCAGCCAAATGCTTCACAACTCATTGGACGCTTCACAGTGCAGATGGACAATGACCCAAAGCAGACTGCAAAAGCAACCAAAGAGTTTTTTAAGGGAAAGAAGTGGAATGTTCTGCAATGGCCAAGTCCATCACCTGACCTGAATCCGATTGAGCATTTCACTTGCTGAAGACAAAACTGAAGGGAAAATGCCCCAAGAACAAGCAGGAACTGAAGACAGTTGCAGTAGAGGCCTGGCAGAGCATCACCAGGGATGACACCCAGCGTCTGGTGATGTCTATGCGTTCCAGACTTCAGGCTGTAATTGACTGCAAAGGATTTACAACCAAGTATTAAAAAGTGAAAGTTTGATTTATGTTTATTATTCTGTCCCATTACTTTTGGTCCCTTAAAAAGTGGGAAGCACATATACAAACTGTTGTAATTCCTACACCGTTCACCTGATTTGGATGTAAATACCCTCAAATTAAAGCTGACAGTCTGCAGTTAAAGCACATCTTGTTTGTTTCATTTCAAATCCATTGTGGTGGTGTATAGAGCCAAAAATGTTAGAATTGTGTCGATGTCCCAATATTTATGGACCTGACTGTAAATTGCTTTGATCCACAATAAATGCATACAGATCTTCCGTGAAAAACCGCTCCACAAAATCAAGGGGAGGAGTTAAATTTGGTGTTTCCACCTAAATTCCGGGTTGGGCAGTGAATGGGGGAAGTACGGGTGCTGCAGAATTTGTGGGCTGCCAATTGGGATTTGCAAGCACATCTGGAAGGATACTAGGGGCTCTACGGGCCTGTGTGCGAATTCTCGGTGGTTGCGTGACTAATGCACCATAGATAGGATTGTCCACTCCTACTTCCACCATTACCGATCCATACCACTCCCCACCCCCTTAACCAAATAAACTTTACAAAAAACATGACACCATTTGGAGTAAAATGGCCAACATGGCCTTTTATTAACAACTTCACATTTTACATACATCAACCGTTCCTTAACGGAAACCAAAGAATTGTTGTTGGTCTTCAAAGGCACCCCCAAACGATCCAAAATGCACCTGCGGACAACCCTATACACTAGGCCTCCAGCCGCAACCAACCAGCTCGGAGACAACCATACCGTCCGCAGTGCAGCACCACCACCTTCCAGTTAAACCTTGGTTAACTGGGAATGTCCACCGGGCCCCCCATACCACTGATGGGTCCCACACCATTGTTTTACCTTCCAAGATGAGAACCACCTCCAAAGACCAACAACCGCCCGCGAACCAACAAAAAAACCCCTTTTCCACCTTTTTTTTTTTTTTTTATTTTTTACCTGCCCCCGGGAGAGACCCGATACCCAACCAAACAGGGAGGGCGGGAGGGAAGCTCTGGTCCTTACTCACGTCCAGCTCCACTGACGCCCCCTCCACAGAACCCCCCACCCTAAGGTGCCACAGACCCCTCCTACACTCCACCTCTGCCAACCAGATAATCCCACAATCAACTCCCAACCCCCTGGAGCTAACTTTAACTCTTTCCGTTCCCCTTCACCACTCTGGGCCTAGTCATGTATGCCCTGCGCTATTTTCATTCTTCCTTATTCGCTACGGGCATTTCTGGACAATACTTATACTTTCCACCGCACCACCTTGTACTGCACTTATGGGACTCGCCACGTCACCAAATGATACTGCAATGCTGGTATGTGAAAGACCAGGATGTACTAGGCCACTGGTGCTCGCCAGTTCACCAGAAGGTAGCGCGGCACTAGTACTGGCACTCTGTTGCATTTGAGAGTCATCAAAATTTACCGGTAAGTGCTAACAGAGATCAGGCCTGATTCTGTGAATCAGTTTTTGTGTGCAATGTATCAAGTGACAGTGACCTACTGACACTGCACTTGCTGGGGGAGAAGGGGGGGTAAGCGTAGGGGCTAAATGCAGGTGCTAGCAGGTGCCGGGGGCTGATCCCACTAACTCTGCGTTTTTGGGGACGCTATACTAATGTGAACACTGGTATAGTGCTGATCTGATCAAAGATGTTGATCCAGCCCGTTTGTCCCTCTTCAGGGG